CATCATAAATCTCAATTGCACCTTCTACATAAAAACCCTTTTACATATACTCACTCAAGTTTTGAGATGCTTATGATAACCACGAGTACGACAAAAATATTCTCATAAACTTGTTACAAGATCATTTTCTGTGTTTTAATTTGTTATGCAACCAATCACAATGATTATAAATTCTTTTAACGCTTGAAGGTAGGCATTAGATAATGTTCTTTAGTAGGTGTTAATCATTTATTGATTAAAAATGTCATAAGTTGATGATGATTGTTAGTCAACTTTAACTATTTTCCTAATAGGAGAAGAGGCTGAATGGACTAACATCAATGTTTAATAAATATTAATTGTTATTAAATGTGAATGGATGGTTGATGTGGACATCAAAAGTTGGGCAAAGGTGTGCAACTACCATGATCACTATCATAAATAATGAGAGATTTAGTACTCCAAAAAATAATTGTCTATGGCCTGGGGTTACCTGTGATTAGAAGACATATAATATTAATTTTTACTAGTTGTCATGTGATGATAGAGTGAGAATATAAAAATTGGATGATGAAGAGGAATCAACTTGGTTGTTCTCTCAATTGATAAGAGTAAAATGATAGAAATACAAATATATAATGTCGATCAATGGTTTATGTATGTTGAACATGGGTTCATGATTATATTTGTTGATGATAAATATGCCGATTTAGTAATTTTAAGTGATCAATCTTATCATTCTCTTAATAGGAAGGGATATTAGATGATTTAAGAGACATGTTCGGTGTTGGAGAATGATAGAAGTCATGAGTCGATCAATATTGATGATAATGACAATATGATTTCTAATTGGTGAATGACTTGGATTATTGTCATCTTTGCAATGGATGCCTATAGATGAGAAAGAAATATAATGTAGATTGGTAGACAATAACTAGTAATAGACAATAGAGGCTAAAGCAAAAAAAATCCTTATGAATCTCAAAATTTTCTTTGCTATAAATGCTCTTCTGAATTTTGTACATAAAATATTATATATTTATAGACTCTGGATATTGTCATTTCTATTTGTATAAAAAATCAATAAACTTAGCTCAATCTAGCTAATAATTATTTATATATTTAAAGTTTTTTTAAATTTATTAATTGTGCGAGAAACTCCAAACCATTTCTAATTTTACCACTTGACAGGTTGCTAGTAAAATCAGAAAAACTTCTGGAACAAAAAAATTATAAAAGCGAGAATTACATATTTACCCTCAAATTTTCATTAGATTGAATGCAATGCATGAAAATTTATAGTTCATTCATGCTTCATGACTCGCACTATCCTCATAAAAACTTATAGGTAAGAAAATATCCTTACACGGCATTATACAAGATTTTCCTTTGAAAAAAATATGTCCAAAGACCTGCAGACATAATGAGAAATAAAGAGCTAACGACAGCGTGAATTAAGTTCTAAAGGCTACCTACCCCACTGGGCAATGCCTAACTATATATTGGGTCATTTACATTTACAAATATACCATCTAATTCTTACATTAACTTTTACATTTATACCTCCTAAATCTTTCATATCACATTTAAAATAGGGGCATTTATACACATAGCACACGATTCTTATGGATTTACGTATCGCACCAAAACTTTCATGTTTACAAGCATAACACTCAATTCTTCCATATCACATCCAAAATAGCACTAATTATCATTTTTTAATAGTTAAATCTATTTTTTCATTCATAAGTGTTGTGTACATAAATATGAAACTATAGGATACTTATTGCATGGATAAGGTTGTATTTATGTAAAAATTGAAGTTTAAGCATTAGATATATAAATACACAGAAATAGAGTGTTACGTATGTAAATTTCCTTAGAGAGAGAGAGAGAGAGAGA